CCCCCCCCCCCCCCCCTTCGGTTTCTGAAAAATAAATCACACCAATACTCCTTTCTTGATATTAGAATTTTGACTAGCTTATCAAAGTTCTGGACCGTAACAAATGGCACCGTTCGCCCTCTAAAATACCAAAATTTTTCGGTGCCCTTAAGAGGGCCCCGAACCCCACGTCAAGGGGGATGGAGGAGGGGGCGAGGGTCGACTTCGCATCCGAGGCCTGTCACTCCTTAAAAAAACGGATCCCCACTTCAAATAGTCCTGGATCAGCCCCTTCATAACTACATTATCATAAAAAAACAGAAAATTATTCTATCTGTGCAATACACGCAAGATCATGAGGTATTATCATATTTAGAACTAGGTCTCACTATTCAATATTGAATATTGAGTTCTACAGTCTGTAGTTTAGAAGCTAGCGCTACTTGAGCATATTCACTGTTTGAAAACAATGGGGCTATCAGTCACACACGCAAAAATCACGTACAGGTTTGCACCCATAGGCCTACATCAGTGGCGGATTTGGGGGGGGGTGTGCCAGGGGGTCCTGACTCCCCTTCGATTTCTGAAAAAAATCACACCAATGGTTCCCTCTTGAAATTAAAATTTTGACTATGATCATAGTTCTAAACCGTACCAAATGGCACCGTTCGCCCTCTAAAATACCAAAATTTTTCAGGGCCCTTCAGCGCCCCCTCCCCCCCCCAAAAAAAAGAAAAATTGCGTGCTATTAAAGTATATCCCTACCCCGCCCTATAACTCTCTCATTTTTCTGTCATTTAATGTAGTGTCGATCAATATCTACCAATCAAATTAGTATGGAAATTTATAATTCATATTTAAATTTTAAAGCTTTTTTTTCCATTTAACCTGTCAAGCTCTTTGATCAATGAGATCACAGCAAATGTTCACACCAATGATGGCCGCAGCTCTCAAAACATTTGGATAACATAAAGTCTCTTGAAAAAAGGCTTTATCGTTAAATTAATAAATAAATTGACAACCTGATTAATTTGATTAGCGGAAACATTGTTCAAAGTCACCACACAGAAAAGATGTTGGATATCAAACAGTTATATGGTGATGGTGGTGGTGCGGATAGGCCTACTGCAGAAGCGCCTAATTTCGAAATTCGTCGTTAGATCCCATGCTCCCCGCCCACCCCACCCCGCACACACACACAAACTGGCCAACCACCTGCCGCCATTGAGAAATCCAAAAAAGTGCACGCATTAACGTATAAATATAATATATATATATATATATATATATATATATATATATATATATATATATATATATATATATATATATATATATATTGTCTTATATACAGTTATTATATCTCGTTCAGACACATATATATATATATATATATATATATATATATATATATATATATATATATATATATATGTGCCTGAACGAGATATGAACGAGAGTATTCGAGAGTAGCGGTGACAGGGGCCTTGCGGTTGGCGCGAAGTGAAATGTGCCCAACGAAAACTTGACGTATTCAGTAGAGAATCAAATTAGCGGAGATAGAACGGTTAAATACTCAACTGTGAAAAGGTAAAAATTCGCGGAAATTACTCCCTTGCTTGTAACGAACTAGCTGTTAAAATTAAGTCTTCGTGTCGATTGTCTTGTCTGGGCTGGGTTGTAGGGAGATGGGCCATGTTGCCATATGCATGTCTTCTAGGATATTACAGGAAGTTAAACATACACGCATGAACTCGGGTTTTATTAAATAGTTATTGCTTTACTTGAAATATTAGGGGAGTAGGGTTTCCGCGACGTTTTGTCATCTGCTTGTCTTAAATGGGAAGTCGTATATTGGCAATCCTAATGTGGTCTTGAATTTGACCTTTGACCAACTTTTCATTTCATTTCACTTAATCAGTAAACGTAAATGTCCTGAACAAAAAGAGAACCCCTCGCCATTTGCTTGTATAATTAGCATCAAGTTTTCATTTATTAGCAGCCATGGATTTTGGTAGGAAAGTTTGCCTCATGTTTTTTTTTTTTTTTTTTTTTTTTTTTTTGTCGCTATGCCATAGCTAAACTGCATGTAGAAAAAAGCACTCACGTTTATAATTATTATTAAAATACATATACATTTCAGACAAGGACACATCACACATCTGGCAGGATGCCAAGTTCCTGATAGAATGTTATTTCGTCACTCTTCACTCTCACCATCTTCCTGTTCACACTCATGATGAAGACGATGGAAAACAAGGAGGTGCAATGGAAACGGCTGCCGATAGTGGACAATATGAAAAGAGTTTTATTAAAATGATGGAAACCTTAAGAATGGGTAAGAACATTGTAGAGCCTTGATGTCATTTTATGGTAATAGCTTAATAAATTATTTTTTCTGGCATTTGCTTACAAATTTATAATTCATTGTATTAATTTTTTTCCATTAAATTTCTCATTTTTTAGTACAAAAATATGCTTTCTCCAGTAGTTTACAGGTAGTGCATGTAGAATGTTGATTTAAAAGGTAATGAAATCAGTTTTGTTCAAATTTAGTGGGACATTGCCATTACATGTTAGAATTTTACACAACATTAATTTCCAGATACTACAGCATGGCAAGATGTGCACTGAGATGTCTCAGTTTCCCAAAATTGTTGTTAGTCAGCATGCTACAGTTCTGTGAGGCTCTTATGCAATATCTACTTCAGGCTGATTTGTTCTAAGCAAGGTACGTCTATGTGTGTATGTGCGTGTGTGTGTGCGTGTGTTCACTTGTATGCCTTTCCTCTGAACTTTCTTTCACAACCTCTCTCTCTGTTTGGCAACGTCTGTATGCATGTTTACTTTGTAAACTTATCTAGTTACAATGAAAATGTCTTAAAAACATTAAATTTTATTGTTTTTTTCAAAGACTTTTAATTGTAATCCAGTCTTTTAAAAAGACTTAATTTTACCAATTTCTGTTGGTGAATAAAAACAAATATGTTTTAGGATCTCGTTGCCCCTTCCTCAAGATGTGCCAATGTTATTTCTTATACTGCCAGAGTATTACATGGAGGATTTGGCAGACTACTTTCTGCTTGTCATACAGTAAGTACAGTTTTATACTTTTATTCAGATCGAAAGCATGCCCATGTCTTCTTTTTTACAGGTATCTGTATGCATATTTATCAGACTTGGACCATCAGCAGCTAGTGATTGAAGTTTACTGCCACAAGCAGTGTACGTCCTGTCTGATGAATTTGGCTGACAGGATATATAACTTTATGTCATCATCAAATGGTTTGTAAAAGGCTCCAGGCACATTGGCCTAACCTTTTTGACCTCTGTTTATATTCATTAAAAAGTTAAAGGGTATAATTGATTTCATTCTCATGAATTCTCTACATCTATCTGTAATCCCCCCTCTCTACTCTTCTCTCAACAGTTCTACCTGTATCTGTGATTAAATAATAAGCGAAACTGTTTCAAAACAAAACCTTAATTGAAGTGAAGTGAAAATAAACCCCATATCTACACTGTTCACTTTTCTGGTTATGATGGATATTGTCTATTTTCTGTCACTGGGGCCATTCAAAATGGATGATCCAAGTATTTTTTGATCGGCTGACTAAATATGGTCGACCACAGACCAAAAGGGATACCTCCGATTCCTGGTGGTCTCCCCAGGAATCAGTAAGTACTTGGATCATCCATTCTGAACGGGGCCACTTCCTGTCTAACTTTCTCAGACATATCTGATAAAATTCTGATGATACTTTTTCAACAAAGAAGGATTACTTTTAAAATAAAATGTTTAAGACATTTGATTTCTTTGTTTGCTGTAATAGCACGTGTTGATAATTATTAAACTTTATAACCATGTATTATTTCAGATGTATTATGATTGACTCTCTGTCTCTCTCATGTAAAGCTGATTTTTCTCAGAAACTTAACTCATATAAACATGTTCTTACTCTTTTTACAGCTGGTTGAAGGGAGGCTGAATATAGATAGACATGACAATTACTCCTAGACATCACCCCTCTCTAATGTCACTGATACAGAGGAGAAGAATGCTGTACCACCACCATCATTTACTCACAGACGGGAGTTTACCACCTGTGACAAGCCTGGCTTCCTGGTTGTGACTGAACTTGCAAGTTGTTGAGAATTCAGGCAAGGTTTGTCAGAGCCTTCTCTCCCCCCACCCCCATCCCCTGTTCACTTATGATCTGTGAATGTCAAAAGTTGCAGATTTTGAGTTTACACCTTCTTGTGTGTGTGTATTTCCATTTTATGTAGTAGAATGTATAATTAATGTGTGCTTAGTGCTACTTGATATTATATCTGCAGAAAACGAATTATGAGCTACAAATATTATGGTTGCTAGTGTAAACTTGCATAGACACTGTAATTACACAGTGAAAGTTATGTTATTTTGTGAAACCAGACCTGCATCATATGTGAGAAAGGGAACTAGAAAGCTTAATAGCAAGATGGGTTTAAGAATTTTGATTAAAGTGCAAATAGTGAAAATATTATCATGAAAGAAAAGTGTTCACATTTTGTAAGTAAATGCTCTGTTCAAAAACCTATAAAAAGTTATTTGATCATACAACAGATGTAACATTACAAGTACAGTGGCCTGTACTATAATTTATTGGTGTATTGAATTGTGAACTATGTCAGCAGTGATCTATACACTGACAATTAACTTTTTTCCTTTGGTAAATTCAAAGGCAATTTTTAGATGTACTTAACTAAGTTTTAATTCTGTAAGTTCATGGATTATGTAGTGTAGTAGTGAGATAAGACCAAGTTTCAGTTTGAGGAAGTGGGTATTCATATCTCTCAACGTTGGGATTTGTTCAGAAATCTTTGTATGCATGTTAATGGTATCCATCACTGTTACAAAAAGTGAACTGCACTTTGCATATTTTCTGCGCTTCATATTTTTTAAACTGCCCCTCATATCTTCAAATATGTCCAGTGTTGCCCCTGGTTTTTCCCTTTTTTCAGCATATATGCAACACTGATAACACCTTTCAAGGAAAACTGATAGGCCCATTGTCTTGAAAATCACAGGAGTGATCACAGGAGTTAAAAAAATGAGAACAATTCTAAAATCGGCTTGATCAGACCATTTTTACAGATATGCTGTTTTTCCCTTTTTGCATATTTTGAGTTAATTGCATTTAATAGAGCTTGTCAAGCACAACACTGGTGGTGGTGTCCCTTTTTTAGTTTTCCATATGAATGTGCTTACTCCAGCTGTTGTTACATTATCCGGAGGCGGTGTTGCCTCTCTGATCCTCTAGTTGTAACCTCGAGAGGACGTGTGTCATTAAAGGGGAATACAACATTCTGTGGACCTAAATTCAATAAAATCTGACCCCCCTCTTCTCTCTAGACCTGCCCATTACGTTTTACCCACTGTGACATGAGCAGTAACAGTGCATCTTCACAGCTTTCTTTGCAGATAATTTGACGAATATTTTTCTATTCAGGGATGCTAGTCTTCCGGTTTTTACCGGAATTCCGGTTTTTTGCGTCCAGTTATAAAATTTTCTGGTACTATATTTTGTTCCGGAATTCTCGTTTTTAACGTGGTCGCGGACTGGACGAACGATGCGTCAGAGGAACGTCGCATTTCAACCATTGCGACAGAGCTGCGTTTCAACACAATATCTAGTCACAACCGTAGCACGTGATTTATTTATGGCGCTTGATTGGTTGGAAATGTAGGCTTTAATGTCGGCACCCATGTGGAAAGTTTTGACACCGCGTGCGCGGAATTTTGAACTAAACCAAACTAAATGGATTTCGCGGAGAGGGGAACAGACGATATTAG